TATTGATCATTCTGTTACTTCAGGCCAATGAGTTTCATATTGATTAAGTAGAACTTGTTAAACTTACCGTCTGAAACATCTACAGCGAATCTATTCTACACCTGTGAGGTATGCAGACAGATTAGAATATACAGTATGAGAAGATAGCAGTGGCATCTGACTGTTTTATTTTAATTAAATGTTCAATGATAGATTATAGCTCAATCTGTTTGACGCCAATGTGTTTCATATTGATCAGCTGAAACTTGTTAACAGTACCAACTGTGATTCAAAATAGAAAAATATAGCCCCGTGTAAAAAAGTATGCGCTCACTTAACTGTAAGTCGCTCTGGATAAGAGCGTTTGCTAAATGACTAAAATGTAAAAAAACACTCACATATCTGAGGTTACTTGTGCGTGGTAATTGGTCAATGATTACAGTTTAGTAGACACTCTTATCCAGAGTGACGACATATATTTTCATATTTGTTCGTACTGGTCCCCCATGAGAATCGAACCCACAACCCTGGTGTTGCAAGTGCCATGCTCTACCAACTGAGCCACACGGGACCACCGTTATGTGAGAGAACCGGTATAACTTGTGTTTATGTAGCTATGTACCAAGTGAAACATTCACCAAAGTTGATGTATTCTACACCTGGAGTTCTCTCTCCTTTTCTCTATTCAATTCTTTACAGCTTAATTGCCCTTGTGGGAGATTAGCGGAAAGTTTCGTCTCCCTCTGACGTCAGATTAGTCCGAAGGCCACGTAAATTGTCCTTCACCATTAGTCCTTCACCATTATGGTTTAATTTCTAGGAAACAGACATTATTTTGCTGCCATTTTAGGGACAGTTCGAAATTTACTGGGGGCTGGTCCAATTCAAGGTGTTATAAAAAAAAAATGCCCCCCCAACGTAAAAACTATTTTCACATGGCCCTCACCTTGTACTATAAAAAAGACTGCATACCCTCCCCCCTCATAGAATTAACTCAAAATAATGTTTACGACCACAAATAATGCAGCAACCCTGTGTTTATAAATATGGATATTACATTTACATTTTAGCAGACGCTCTCATCCAGAGCGATTTACAGGAGCAATTAGGGTTAAGTGCCTCGCTTAAGGGCACATCGACATATTTTTCACCTAGTCGGCTCTGGGATTAGAACCAGTGACCTTTCGGGTTACCCACTAAGCTACCTGCTATTGACTTATGCTTTTGTGGCACAGTCGATGCCACAGGGCTATGGGCCGGAAGGTTGAGGGTTCACCGGACCGCCACGGAGGTGCTCACTCTCTCCTACCCGTCTCATTTAAGCTACGATCAGAGCCGGCTGCAGACAATGATCAGACAAGGGGAAATCAGACTTTCACAATGTTGATGCCATATTAATAATGATATAAAATACTGGGTATGCATCACATTTTCTACCAACTTCAATGTCATGGTTTTGTGTTTTCAACACCACAGTAAATAGACTATGTCAATCTGGACAAACAGAACATACGTCCCTCCCTACCTTGTAGATTTACCCAGTATCGACGGCTCGGTTTAACAATCTCCGAATGTCATTAAACTTTTTGGTGTTTTGTAACAGATGTTTCTTTCCATTCATCAAATGGCCGCTGCACAGTTTGGATTGTGCATAAAGGAAGTACCAAAACACCTTGATATAGGGGAGGTGCGCATGCAAGCAGATAAGGAAATGTGGATGAAATAAATTATATAGTAAAACCTGCATAAGAGCGAATGTAAACCAGAGAAGAAATATCCTCCCCTTAGCCCAAAAAATAAACACACAACACTCCTTAAAGCGAAAAAAAAAAAAAGTTGAACAACCCTCCCCTATAAATCTGTCTCTTACTTTCAGCTGATACATGATAATATAATAATAATATGCCATTTAGCAGACGCTTTCATCCAAAGCGACTTACAGTCATGTGTGCATACATTTTTTTCTTTACGTATGGGTGGTCCCGGGGATCGAACCCACTACCCTGGCGTTACAAGCGCCGTGCTTTACCAATTGAGCTACAGAGGACCATGATAATATTGGCTAGTTACCTTAATCAGCCTTGTTTATGGTACATTTAGTGCAGCTAGCTACCTTAATCAGCCAAGGGTGGTTGTTTGAAGAATCTCAAATATAAAACATATTTTGATTTGTTTGAGATGTTAGACCGGGGTTGAAGTCCAGACTCTGGCTGGGCCACTCAAGGACATTCAGAGACTTGTCCCTAAGCCGCTCCTGCGTTGTCTTAGCTGTGTGCTTAGGGTCGTTGTCCTGTTGGAAGGTGAACCTTCACCCCAGTCTGAGGTCCTGAGCGCTCTGGAGCAGGTTTTCATCAAGGATCTCTCTGTAATTTGAGCCATTCATCTTTCCCTTGATCCTGACTAGTCTCCCAGTCCCTGCCGCCACCATGCTTCACCGTAGGGATGGTGCCAGGTTTCCTCCAGACGTGAAGCTTGGCATTCAGGCCAACGAGTCGAATCTTAGTTTCATCAGACCAGAGAATCTTGTTTCTCATGGTCAGAGTCCTTTAGGTGCCTTTTGGCAAACTCCAAGCGGGCTGTCATTTGCCTTTTACTGAGGAGTGGCTTCCGTCTGGCCACTCTACCATAAAGGCCTGATTGGTGGAGTGCTGCAGAGATGGTTGTCCTTCTGGAAGGTTCTCCCATCTCCACAGAGGAACTCTGGAGCTCTGTCAGAGTGACCATCGGATTCTTGGTCACCTCCCTGACCAAGGCCCTTCTCCCCCGATTGCTTAGTTTGGCCAGGCGGCCAGCTCTAGGAAGAGTCTTGGTGGTTCCAAACTTCTTCCATTTAAGAATGATGGAGGCCACTGTTTTGGTACCCTTCCCCAGATCTGTGCCTCAACACAATCCTCTCTCGGAGCTCTACGGACAATTCATTCAACCTCATGGCTTGGTTTTTGCTCTGACATGCACTGTCAATTGTGGGACCTTATATAGACAGGTGTGTGCCTTTCCAAATCATGTCCAATCAATTGAATTTACCACAGGTGGACTCCAATCAAGTCGTAGAAACATCTCAAGTATAATCAATGGAAACAGAATGCACCTGAGATCAATTTCGAGTCTCATAGCAAAGTGTCTGAATACATATGCAACTAAGACATTTCTGTTTTTTATTTTTAATACATTTGCAAACATTTCTAAAAACCTGTTTTTGCTTTGTCATTATGGGGTATTATGTGTAGATTGATGAGGATTTATTTTTATTTAATCCATTTTAGAATAAGGCTGTAACGTAACAAAATGTGGAAAAAAATCAAGGGGTCTGAATACTTTCTGAAGGCACTGTATGTATGTGTGATGGGATGTAGAGACAATCTATACTCCGGACTCTGACATCGCTCGTCCTAATATTTCTACATTTCTTAATTCCATTCTTTTACTTTTTAGATTTGTGTGTACTGTTGTGTGTTGTTAGATATTACTGCACTGTTGGAGCATTTCACTACATGTGATATAGCATCTGCTAAATAGGTGTATGCGACCAATACAATTTGATTTGATTTGAATACTAATTAAAATGTGGCAAAGCAATTAACTTTTTGTCCTGAATACAAAGTGTTATGTTTGGGGCAAATCCAATGCAACACATTACATTACATTACATTACATTACATTTTAGTCATTTAGCAGACGCTCTTATCCAGAGCGACTTACAGTTTAGTGAATACATATATATATATATATATATATATATATATATATATATATATATATATATATATATATATATATATATTATTTTTTTTTACTGAGTACCACTCTTCATATTTTCAAGCATAGTGGTGGCTGCATCATGTTATGGGTATGCTTGTAATCGTTAAGGTCTGGGGAGTTTTTCAGGATAAAAAATAAACGGTAATGGAGCTAAGCACAGGCAAATGAAAAACCTATTTCAGTTTCCTTTTCACCAGACACTGGGAGATTAATTGACCTTTCGGCAGGACAATAACCTAAAACACAAGGCCAAATATACACTGGAGTTGCTTACCAAGAAGACAGTGAATGTTCCTGAGTAGCCTGGCTACAGTTTTGACTTAAATCTACTTTAAAATCTATGGCAAGACCTGAAAATGGCCGTCTAGCAATGATCAACAACCAATTTGACAGAATTTGTGGCACAATCCAGGTGTGGAAAGCTCTTACAGACTTACCCGGTTAGGGCGGCAGGTAGCTTAGTGGGTAAGAGCGTTGTGCCGGTAACCGAAAGGTCGCTGGTTCTAATCCCTGAGCCAACTACGTGAAAAATCTGTCGATGTGCCCTTAAGCAAGGCACTTAACCCTAATTGCTCCTGTAAATCGCTCTGGATAAGAGCGTCTGCTAAATGACTAAAATGTACAAAATGTTACCCAGAAAGACACAGCTGTAATCGTTACCATAGGTGCTTCTACAAAGTATTGACTCAGGGGTGTGAGTACTGATGTTAATTAAATATTTCTGTATTACATTTTCAATCAATTTGTAAAAATGTCTAAAAACATATTTTCACTTGGTCATTATAGGGTATTGTGTGTAGATGGTGGAGAGAAAAACCCCACTATTTAATCCATTTAAATTCAGGCAGAAGCAGAACAAGTCAAGGGGTATGAATATTTTCTGAAGGTGCTGCAGTAACCTTAATCAACATTGTTTATGATACATTTAGTGTAGCAGGCCACTCAAATATAATGTAATTCACATTTGATTAGGCTGCTTTAAAGCACTCTTTACATTCCTTTTCTGTTACATTTTTAGTCATTTAGCAGACGCTCTTATCCAGAGCGGCTTACAGGAGTAATTAGGGTTAAGTGCCTTGCTCAAGGGCACATTGACAGATTTTTCACCTAGTCAACTCGGGGATTAGAACCAGCGACCTTTCGGTTACTGGCACAACGCTCTTACCCACTAAGCTACCTGACGCCTGTCACTAACAGAGGTTTGTCAACACCACCTATCCTAATGCTGAAATAGAATTAGGAAACAGTGATCCTACAGACAGAGGTTTGAGAGGGGGGTGGTTGCTATACGAGGTATCCCTCCCCTACTCGGGGTGGGCCTGCTCCGGGTGGACCTGCTCCGGGTGGGCCTGCTCGGGGTGGACCTGCTCCGGGTGGGCCTGCTCCAGGTGGACCTGCTCCGGGTGGACCTGCTCGGGATGGGCCTGCTCCGGGTGGACCTGCTCGGGATGGGCCTGCTCCGGGTGGACCTGCTCTGGGTGGGCCTGCTCCGGGTGGGCCTGCTCCGGGTGGATCTGCTCGGGGTGGACCTGCTCCGGGTGGGCCTGCTCCGGGTGGACCTTCTCTCAGTGTACAGTGAGGGAAAAAAGTATTTGATCCCCTGCTGATTTTGTACGTTTTCCCACTGACAAAGAAATGATCAGTCTATAATTTTAATGGTAGGTTTATTTGAACAGTGAGAGACAGAATATCAAAACAAAAATCCAGAAAAACGCATGTCAAAAATGTTATAAATTGATTTGCATTTTAATGAGGGAAATAAGTATTTGACCCCCTCTCAATCAGAAAGCTTTCTGGCTCCCAGGTGTCTTTTATACAGGTAACGAGCTGAGATTAGGAGCACACTCTTAAAGGGAGTGCTCCTAATCTCAGCTTGTTACCTATATAAAAGACACCTGTCCACAGAAGCAATCAATCTATCAGATTCCAAACTCTCCACCATGGCCAAGACGAAAGACCTCTCCAAGGATGTCAGGGACAAGATTGTAGACCTACACAAGGCTGGAATGGGCTACAAGACCATCGCCAAGCAGCTTGGTGAGAAAGTGACAACAGTTGGTGCGATTATTGGCAAATGGAAAAAACACAAAAGAACTGTCAATCTCCCTCAGCCTGGGGCGCCATGCAAGATCTCACCTCGTGGAGTTGCAATGATCATGAGAACGGTGAGGAATCAGCCCAGAACTACACAGGAGGATCTTGTCAATGATCTCAAGGCAGCTGGGACCATAGTCACCAAGAAAACAATTAGTAACACACTACGCCGTGAAGGACTGAAATCCTGCAGCGCCCGCAAGGTCCCCCTGCTCAAGAAAGCACATATACAGGGCCGTCTGAAGTTTGCCAATGAACATCTGAATGATTCAGAGGAGAACTGGGTGAAAGTGTTGTGGTCAGATGAGACCAAAATGGAGCTCTTTGGCATCAACTCAACTCGCCGTGTTTGGAGGAGGAGGAATGCTGCCTATGACCCCAAGAACACCATCCCACTGTCAAACATGGAGGTGGAAACATTATGCTTTGGGGGTGTTTTTCTGGTAAGGGGACAGGACAACTTCACCGCATCAAAGGGACGATGGACGGGGCCATGTACCGTCAAATCTTGGGTGAGAACCTCCTGCCAGGGCATTGAAAATGGGTTGTGGATGGGTATTCCAGCATGACAATGACCCAAAACACCCGGCCAAGGCAACAAAGGAGTGGCTCAAGAAGAAGCACATTAAGGTCCTGGAGTGGCCTAGCCAGTCTCCAGACCTTAATCCCATAGAAAATCTGTGGAGGGAGCTGAAGGTTCGAGTTGCCAAACGTCAGCCTCGAAACCTTAATGACTTGGAGAAGATCTGCAAAGAGGAGTGGAACAAAATCCCTCCTGAGATGTGTGCAAACCTGGTGGCCAACTACAAGAAACGTCTGACCTCTGTGATTGCTAACAAGGGTTTTGCCACCAAGTACTAAGTCATGTTTTGCAGAGGGGTCAAATACTTATTTCCCTCATTAAAATGCAAATCAATTTATAACATTTTTGACATGCATTTTTCTGGATTTTTTTGTTGTTATTCTGTCTCTCACTGTTCAAATAAACCTACCATTAAAATTATAGACTGATCATTTCTTTGTCAGTGGGCAAATGTACAAAATCAGCAGGGGATCAAATACTGTTTTTTCCTCACTGTACCTGTGCTGGCTGTACCTGCTCTGAGTATTATCCATGCTGGGTGTCTGGGATCAAAGTCTTCAGGCCATAAAGGGGTGCTGGCTGTGCTGTGTTGGCGTAGCTCACTGTCCTCCTGTTTCCTGGTTCACAGTTTCTTTCTTTCTCTTGGTGGACTGGACAGGACAGACAATTGAACGGTGGCTGAGGACTGAACTGACTATAGGACCAGGGAGGGCTTCTACAGACCTCTACAGGTAACACATGGTCTTGGTCAACTTCTGCTATAGGGGTTTGACCCACAGTTGTCAAAGTTATTTTGATTAATCTAATGGTGGTGTGATGACAGCCATAGTATAGCCAGTGATAAGATATGCCATGTCACATGATACATTTTCAATCTGTCCACATGCATTGTTGTGGGGTTTGATTCTTAATGGGATTTAAATGGGATTCAGATTCCATTGAATAATTTGATTTAATATGAGATGGTAAAACCTCATCTTTAATTAAACTTATTGGAGCAGAAATCCCAAGGGCTTGACCATCAGGTGTCATAATGTGTCAATGTTGTTTTGCTGTAAAGGGAGTGGTCCTGGCCGAAATGGCAGCCATTTTTATAGGACCGATTATATTGTCTGTATCCCAAATGGCACCCTATTCCCAGTATAGTGCACTACTTTTGACCTGGGCTCATAGGGCTCTGGTCAAAAGTAGTGCACTTTGTAGGGAATAGGGTGCCATTTGGAACGAAGACCAGTCACTATCATCATACAGTATGGACTCTTACACAGCTGTGTTTTTTCTCTAAATCTACAGACTGGAGACAAGACGTTTTTAATCATGGTGGTTTTGAGGAAGGTAAGATACATATTACTGTACTCCTCTCATACTAAATGTTGAAGATCTGCTTGCATGATTTATAACAGGTCCTATCTTCGACATTGTCTTTGACAGAAAATATGTCACAGACTGAATATAACATCAGATATTATTGGGGTGGGGGGGGGGAATAGTTTAAAGATTTGAATCATTATGTTTCATAGCATGTCTGTAGGTGAATTCCCATAGTTTTATCTCAGTATTTACTCCAGTATTCTCAGTATTGACAATGTCCATTGCCCCCCCCCCAGGGTGATTGGGTGTGGGTGGACTCTGGTCTGGGGGTGCCCATCGGAGCTGAGGTCAAGCTGACCGACACTGGACAGCTGCAGCTCTTCGATGATGAAGGAAAGGTATGGTACCTGTCCAATACCTGTCCAATACCTGTCCAATACCTGTCCAATACCTGTCCAATACCTACCTGTACCTCCTAACTGTCCGCTGGAGGGTATTGTACCTGTCCTGTATACCTGAATGTTTTTTTGATATATTGTTAAGTGTCCTGTCCTCTTAGCTGTTTTAAAAAAAATGTATATTTACAGTTTTTTCTTGAACCGCTCCACAAAATACATTCTCATGAGAAAATAATGTAGTTATTTGAATTGAAAGAAACAATTTTTTTTGTTGTTGTGTGAAATCTTTGGCCTCTGGAAGAAATATTTGATCCTGATATTGTGATAAAGTTGTGATAGTGTTATTGATCATTGCAGGAGCATGAGATCAACCAGAAGGAAGAGGATGGGATCCGGCCCATGCACCCTACGTCCGTTAACGGAGTGGACGACATGATCAGACTGGGGGACCTCAACGAGGCCGGGCTCCTCAGAAACCTCCTGGTCCGACACAAGGAGGGTATCATCTATGTTAGTATACTAGATACATATATTATAGTATACTATATAAAAACGATTTAGTCCCTGTTCATATGATTGTATCTATAATCCACCTTACTAAGTTCTTAACAGTCATTGCCCCCAAGCTGGAAATGGGATGTGCAAAATTAAACAAATTATGCCTTTGTTGATAACAACCTATAAGGAAGTTGCAGAGATTAATGGTGTGTGAAAGGTAGGACCGGCTAGAACCACATATATTTTTATTGACATACCACTGATCATATGTGATCAAACATTATGCAAAGATTCAACTGTCATCTTCCTGGTTGAATAGAACCCCATTCACGATAAATGATCTATAACTAGCTTGTTCATGATGATTGGTGGTTTAGGCTCATTGGAGACGCTGTATTCCTCTCTGACTGAAGTGAATGCTCTGTCAGTGACAGATAGATAGACTTTGCTCTGTAGTAAGGTTATCACACTGGTGTTAGTCTCCATAGAGACCAATGAGGCTCTATGTGTTTAATGAGAACGTCCCAGTGTTGCCCTGCCAAGCTGCCAACGCCGCTGTCTTGCCTTCATGAATCAGAACTAGATAGAAACATAGAAAGCAGAGGGACGATTGTTTGGTTTTATTTATGACGTTTACGAACATGAAATGCGATTCGGCTTCTGAACACCAAGCCCGTTGCAATGACTTTATAACCTTACGGCTGCTAGGTTTTGGTATGACTGGGTAATAGGCCCAATGCAGATGTTTTTATTTCAATATCAAATCATTTCTTGCATAACAATGAAGTACCGTACTGTAATAGATTTCTATTCAAATGGGCAAAAATAGTTTTTTTTAGCAACAAAAAAAATACTATTTCTCAAGCAAGACTTTTGCTAGGACTATCTGGGAGTGGTCTGAGTGGGAAGGGTAAAACTGAAAACTAGCTGTTATTGGCAGAGAGGTTTGGAACTCTCTTTGTTATTGGTCTATTAAATCAATTTACCGCCTGGTGATGTCACCATGGAATGCCGAAACTCCCGCCCCCATGCAAACCTGCTGATTAGAAGGTCCAGTGTAGATTGTATTTTCAACCAGCAACTATCAGCAAATAACAATGTTTTTTTTTTTTTTTTATTTTATTTTTTTAATCACATTTTTTCAGAGTTAGTTTCATCAGCTGCTGTATCTGGAAAGTAAATCAGAAAACACTTCCTTGTCTGAGCAGCCAATCCCCTCTCTGTGTTGTGTCCTGGCTGGAGGTTAAATAGCCTCTGTCTCAGGCAAGCGAGACTAAAGGTTATAGTGTAGTGTTGATGAATGTGCTACTACTGTTAACCGACTGGTGTTGCCGGACACCCACGCTTCTCATCAGTGGTACCACAGTCTGACAGATAACGTCTCTCTCTTGTGCCCACATCACCCGTCTCACTACCACTGTGTGTGTGTGTGTGTGTGTGTGTGTGTGTGTGTGTGTGTGTGTGTGTGTGTGTGTGTGTGTGTGTGTGTGTGTGTGTGCGTGTGTGTGCGTGACAGCCAGATAACGTCCCTCCCTCTATCTGTCCTGTGTCCAGACCTACACAGGCTCCATTCTGGTGGCAGTGAACCCGTACCAGCTGCTGCCCCTCTACACTACAGAGCAGGTGCATCTGTACACGGACCGCCGGCTGGGCGAGCTGCCTCCACACGTGTTCGCCATCGCAGACAGCTGCTTCTTCAACATGAGACGCAACAAGAAGGACCAGTGCTGTGTCATCAGGTTGGGGGGGGGGGGTTCTCCATAGACGTACTAGTCCCTACCCACAATTCAATGTCTAGTTTTGATTTACATTTGGTTGAGTTGTCAACTAACATGAATTCAACGTGAAATCAATAACAAAAAATGTACCATGTCATTGGATTTAGGTCAACAACAACAACAAAAAAGAGGACGTGCCCTGACTTAAAACAACTTTGAGGACTTTTTGCAAATGCAATCAGTTTTCAACATTGATTCAACGTCATCACATTGATTTTCTTTGGTGGACGTGGAAACAACTTTGATTCAGCAAGTTTTTGCCCAGTGGGCAGTAACTAGGGTTGAAAAACAGGACCATGCACCATAATAAAAATCAACTAGAAGAGTACATTAGATTGTATAGCCTTAAAACAATGTTCCCTGTGTGTTTCAGTGGTGGCGAACAGTACATTAGATTAAACTATGTTCCCTGTGTGTTTCAGTGGTGGCGAACAGTACATTAGATTAAACTATGTTCCCTGTGTGTTTCAGTGGTGGCGAACAGTACATTAGATTAAACTATGTTCCCTGTGTGTTTCAGTGGTGGCGAACAGTACATTAGATTAAACTATGTTCCCTGTGTATTTCAGTGGTGGCGAACAGTACATTAGATTAAACTATGTTCCCTGTGTGTTTCAGTGGTGAGAACAGTACATTAGATTAAACTATGTTCCCTGTGTGTTTCAGTGGTGGCGAACAGTACATTACATTAAACTATGTTCCCTGTGTGTTTCAGTGGTGAGAACAGTACATTAGATTAAACTATGTTCCCTGTGTGTTTCAGTGGTGAGAACAGTACATTAGATTAAACTATGTTCCCTGTGTGTTTCAGTGGTGAGTCTGGGGCAGGGAAGACAGAGAGCACCAAGTTGATGCTGCAGTTCCTAGCTGCTGTGAGCGGGCAACACTCCTGGATAGAACAACAGATACTGGAGGCCAACCCTATACTGGAGGGTAATGCTTTGGGGTTTAAAGAGCATTGATTGATTGATAGATTGGTTGATTGATGGGGTGAATGAATGAATGCGTTAATTAATTAATGCATTCATTCATGCATTCATCAGGCTGGGATCTTGTTGCACCAGAAGAATTCATGAATGTGATTTCAATCTGCTCTCCCTGGACCTGTGGTCCCTTCCTAATGAAAGGCTGTTCTCCTCCTTTTCACTAACTTATAAACACACTGCAACTTCTGCTCTTCTTTCAGCCTTTGGTAATGCCAAAACCGTCCGCAACGACAACTCCAGTCGCTTCGGGAAGTACATAGACGTTAACTTCACTAAGGGCGGGGCCATCGAAGGGGCTAAGATAGAGCAGTACCTGCTGGAGAAATCCCGCGTCTGCAGACAGGTAGGAGACTTGGGTAATAAATAACATCCCATTTAGCAGACAGGTAGGAGACGTGGGTAATAAATAACATCCCATTTAGCAGACAGGTAGGAGACGTGGATAATAAAGAACATGCCATTTAGCAGACAGGTAGGAGACGTGGATAATAAATAATATCCCATTTAGCAGACAGGTAGGAGATGTGGATAATAAATAACATGCCATTTAGCAGACAGGTAGGAGACGTGGATAATAAATAATATCCCATTTAGCAGACAGGTAGGAGACGTGGATAATAAATAATATCCCATTTAGCAGACAGGTAGGAGACGTGGACAATAAATAATATCCCATTTAGCAGACAGGTAGGAGACGTGGATAATAAATAATATCCCATTTAGCAGACAGTTAGGAGACGTGGATAATAATAACATCCCATTTACAGACAGGTAGGAGACGTGGTAATAATAACATCCCATTAGCAGACAGGTAGGAGACGTGGATAATAAATAACATGCCATTTAGCAGACAGGTAGGAGACGTGGATAATAAATAATATCCCATTTAGCAGACAGGTAGGAGACGTGGATAATAAATAACATCCCATTTAGCAGACAGGTAGGAGACGTGGATAATAAATAACATGCCATTTAGCAGACAGGTAGGAGACGTGGATAATAAATAACATCCCATTTAGCAGACAGGTAGGAGACGTGGATAATAAATAACATCCCATTTAGCAGACGCTTTTATCCAAAGCCACTTACAGTCAATGCGTGCATACATTTTTACGTATGGGTGGTCCCGGGGTTCGAACCCACTACCCTGGCGTTACAAGCGCCGTGCTCTACCAATTGAGCTACAGAGGACCACCCATAAACATCCATACGTTTCTGTGGGAATGTGAATAAATATGTGTTACAACTAAAGGGGTGAATTTGAACTTCCACACACCGGTTTTTCTCAATGGCGTACAAGCAATGGATCTGTGTTGAAACGTATCTATAGCAGAACAGCAATGATCAAACGCTCAAATACGTTTACAGAACTACTGATCATTTTCTTGCCCTAGTGCCTGACTTGCATATCTTAGGTGGTCTATTGCAAAACTTTAAATAAAAAATGTCATCAGTGAATACACAATTACAAAAGATAAATGTGTGCAATTGTGTTCACTGTTTATGGCAATCGTTGAATACCACTGCACAAAATTCTAAATCACCCCATCAGTGTCATACCATGTAAAATATTTGGAAATATCCAGGCATTGGGGACTGTAATAATGTTTTACAATATTGCGGACATGCAGAAACCTAGAGCATGAAGTTGGGTTACTTATAAGTAACTTTGTGTTACTCCTTAAAGTCATCATGACCGTTCATTATAGAGCTTTGCTTTGGTGTGGGTTGAGGCCTATACATTCATATCAGTTGTGTTTCTCCATTGTGTATTCACCTTTCCTTATTTCTATTGTGGATAGCGGTTCTGTGCACCAATGGAAAGTCTTCAAAACAATGAGCAAACCAGCCTTTGTATTGAATACATGGAATTGGATTTTGATGATACCGATGGTATAATGTAGTTTATAATATAGTTTATAATACGGTTTAGATGAATGTATTTATGTTTTGAGAAAGCAAATACATTTTAAAAACCCATTTACTGTTTTGCAAAAGGCCACAGAGCTCTGTGTCTTGTGGACTCTGTTTCGAAAATTGACAACATCGTTCGCTTGTATGCGATTGAGAAAAACCATACGAAGAATTTTCACTCTCCCATTGACATCAATGCATGACTAAGTGAAAATTACACTCAAGTGGAAGTTCACTCCCATGTTTTACAGATCGTTATGGGTGGTTAGGAAGTATTGTTTGTATGTGCTGGCCCGTAGAGGTAAAATGTGTTCTGTGTGTTGTGATTGTGTTTGTATGTGCAGGCCCCTGAGGAGAGGAACTACCACATATTCTACTGTATGTTGATGGGCATGCCTGCTGAACAGAAGAAGATCCTGTCTCTAGGCAACGCCTCAGAGTACAACTACCTCACCATGGTAACAACCACACACATATCTATATAGTACAACTACATCACCATGGTAACAACACATAGACATATACACTGAGTGTACAAAACATTAAGAACACCTGCATTTTCCATGACAGACTGACCAGGTGAATCCAGGTGAAAGCTATGATCCCTTATTGATGTCACCTGTTAAATCCACTTCAATCAGTGTAGATGAAGGGGAGGAGACAGGTTAAAGAAGGATTTTTAAGCCTTGAGACAATTGAGACATGGATTGTGTATGTGTGGCATTCAGAGGGTGAATGGGCAAGACAAAAGATTGAAGTGCCTTTGAACGGGGTATGGTAGTAGGTGCCAGGCGCACCGGTTGGTGTCAAGAACTGCTGTGTTTTTCACGCACAACTGTTTCCCGTGTGTATCAAGAATGGTCCACCAACCGAAGGACATCCAGCCAACTTGACACAACTGTGGGAAGCATTAGAGTCAACATGGGCCAGCACAATATTAGGAAAGTGTTCTTAATGTTTGGTATACTCAGTGTATATTCTAATAGTTTATATTTACATGTATGTGTATTGTGTTTATGGACATCATTGGTACTACTACCAACACATGGGACGGAATACCTGGAATGGAATAAACTTCAATCCATAATGCATACCAGTGTTGCACATGTATGAGTTATGAATGGATAATTGCTCATTGATCTAAATGGGGACCAGGTCCGAGATGCATCAATATCATGTTGTTCTGAGCCTGGTTGTTGTTGTTCTGCGTTGCCAGGGTAACTGCACCAGTTGCGATGGGCGTGATGACATTAAGGAGTACGCCCACTTCCGCTCGGCCATGAAGATCCTGATGTTCTCTGAGAATGACTCCTGGGAGATCAACAAGTTACTGGCTGCTTTACTCCACCTGGGAAACGTTGACTTTGAAGGTCAGGATCAGGGAGGAGGAGGAGGGGTTTATATCTTTGAAGGTCAGGATCAGGGAGGAGGAGGAGGGGTTTATATCTTTGAAGGTCAGGATCAGGGAGGAGGAGGGGGGGTTTATATATTTGAAGGTCAGGATCAGGGAGGAGGAGGAGGGGTTTATATATTTGAAGGTCAGGATCAGGGAGGAGGAGGAGGGGTTTATATCTTTGAAGTTCATGATCAGGGAGGAGGAGGAGGGGTTTATATCTTTGAAGGTCAGGATCAGGGAGGAGGAGGAGGGGTTTATATCTTTGAAGGTCAGATCAGGGAGGAGGAGGGGGGTTTATATTTTGAAGGTCAGGATCAGGGAGGAGGAGGAGGGGTTTATATCTTTGAATGTCATGATCAGGGAGGAGGTGGGGTTTATATCTTTGAAGGTCAGGATCAGGGAGGAGGAGGAGGGGTTTATATCTTTGAAGGTCAGGATCAGGGAGGAGGAGGAGGGGTTTATATCTTTGAAGGTCAGGATCAGGGAGGAGGAGGAGGGGTTTATATCTTTGAAGGTCAGGATCAGGGAGGAGGTGGGGTTTATATATTTGAAGGTCATGATCAGGGAGGAGGTGGGGTTTTATATATTGAAGGTCATGATCAGGGAGGAGGTGGGGGTTTATATCTTTGAAGGGTCATGATCAGGAGGAGGTGGGGTTTATATCTTTGAAGGTCAGGATCAGGGAGGAGGAGGAGGGGTTTATATCTTTGAAGGTCATGATCAGGGAGGAGGAGGAGGGTTTATAAACTTTGAAGGTCATGATCAGGGAGGAGGAGGAGGGGTTTATATCTTTGAAGGTCAGGATCAGGGAGGAGGAGGGGGTTTATATCTTTGAAGGTCATGATCAGGGAGGAGGAGGAGGGGGTTTATATATTTGAAGGTCAGGATCAGGGAGGAGGAGGAGGGGTTTATATCTTTGAAGGTCAGGATCAGGGAGGAGGAGGGGGTTTATATCTTTGAAGGTCAGGATCAGGGAGGAGGAGGGGTTTATATCTTTGAAGGTCATGATCAGGGAGGAGGAGGTGGGGTTTATATCTTTGAAGGTCATGATCAGGGAGGAGGAGGGGTTTATATATTTGAAGGTCATGATCAGGGAGGAGGAGGTGTTTATATCTTTGAAGGTCATGATCAGGGAGGAGGAGGTGGGGTTTATATCTTTGAAGGTCATGATCAGGGAGGGTTTTATGACTTTGCTCTATTCACCCTTCCTGGATTCCTCTCATGGTCTCTTATAGCCTAGGATTGGGACTTTACCCTGACCCACATCTCCTGCCCTAGGATTGGGACTTTACCCTGACCCACATCTCCTGCCCTAGGATTGGGACTCCCCCTAACCCTAACTCCCATCCTCTCTCCTGGTCTAGGATTGGGACATTCTCTAACCCTAACCCATCCTCTCTCCTGGTCTCCGATTGGGACTTTACCCTAACCATCTCTCCTGGTCTAGGATTGGGACTTTACCCTAACCCATCTTCTCTCCTGGTCTAGGATTGGGACTTTACCCTAACCCATCATCTCTCCTGGTCTAGGATTGGGACTTTACCCTAACCCATCTCTCCTGGTCTCCGATTGGGACTTTACCCTAACCATCTCTCCTGGTCTAGGATTGGGACTTTACCCTAACCCATCATCTCTCCTGGTCTAGGATTGGGACTTTACCCTAACCCATCATCTCTCCTGGTCTAGGATTGGGACTTTACCCTAACCCATCATCTCTCCTGGTCTAGGATTGGGACTTTACCCTAACCATCTCTCCTGGTCTAGGATTGGGACTTTACCCTAACCCATAATCTCTCCTGGTCTAGGATTGGGACTTTACCCTAACCCATCATCTCTCCTGGTCTAGGATTGGGACTTTACCCTAACCCATCATCTCTCCTGGTCTAGGATTGGGACTTTACCCTAACCCTAACCCATCATCTCTCCTGGTCTAGGATTGGGACTTTACCCTAACCCATCTCTCCTGGTCTCCGATTGGGACTTTACCCTAACCCATCTCTCCTGGTCTCGGATTGGGACTTTACCCTAACCCATCATCTCTCCTGGTCTAGGATTGGGACTTTACCCTAACCCATCTCTCCTGGTCTCCGATTGGGACTTTACCCTAACCCATCTCTCCTGGTCTAGGATTGGGACATTACCCTAACCCATCTCTCCTGGTCTAGGATTGGGACTTTACCCTAACCCATCATCTCTCCTGGTCTAGGATTGGGACTTCCCCTAACCCTAACTCCCATCATCTCTCCTGCCCTAGGATTGGGACTTTACCCTAACCCATCATCTCTCCTGCCCTAGGATTGGGACTTTACCCTAACCCATCATCTCTCCTGGTCTAGGATTGGGACTTTACCCTAACCCATCTCTCCTGGTCTAGGATTGGGACATTACCCTAACCCATCTCTCCTGCCCTAGGATTGGGACTTTACCCTAACCCATCATCTCTCCTTGGACCGTCTACTATAATAAGGTTGAGAAGGAGGTGAGAAAAACAGAATGTGAGGAATCACGGAAAGACAAGTTGAGATAGAGCCATGGCGTGGGCCTGTTGGGGAGGAATACATTTTTTATTTATTTTTTGGTCATTTTAGCAGACGCTCTTATCCAGAGCAACTTACAGTTAGTGAGTGCACACATTTTTCATACTGGCCCCCCGTGGGAATCGAACCCACAACCCTGGCGTTGCAAGCGCCATGCTCGACCAACTGAGATACAGGATTTTTGCATGTCAAATCCATTGGGCCATTGAAATACCTACTGTAACTGACTTCCTTACCTTTGATCCTTCCAGCCACCATTTTGAATAATCTGGAGAGCTGTGACGTCATGCCGTCAAATCATTTCAACATGGCAAGCAAACTTCTGGAGGTAAGCCTGTCACTAGCCTCAATCCCAGACGTTCTAGGTGTCTCCATACCCCCAAAACCGGCTTTCAGTTCTCAAGAATACAAAAGAGTACACAAGAATATGGTGTGATATCTGTTAGCTCCAGACTAACCTGTCACTGTCCTCTGTGATGTCCCTCTCTGTTTGTGGTCCAGGTGGACCCTAACCTGTCACTGTCCTCTGTGATGTCCCTCTCTGTTTGTGGTCCAGGTGGACCCTAACCTGTCACTGTCCTCTGTGATGTCCCTCTCTGTTTGTGGTCCAGGTGGACCCTAACCTGTCACTGTCCTCTGTGATGTCCCTCTCTGTTTGTGGTCCAGGTGGACCCTAACCTGTCACTGTCCTCTGTGATGTCCCTCTCTGTTTGTGGTCCAGGTGGACCCTAACCTGTCACTGTCCTCTGTGATGTCCCTCTCTGTTTGTGGTCCAGGTGGACCCTAACCTGTCACTGTCCTCTGTGATGTCCCTCTCTGTTTGTGGTCCAGGTGGACCCCTAACCTGTCACTGTCCTCTGTGATGTCCCTCTCTGTTTGTGGTCCAGGTGGACCCTAACCTGTCACTGTCCTCTGTGATGTCCCTCTCTGTTTGTGGTCCAGGTGGACCCCAAGCCCTGGATGAAGAGTTGACCCAGCGCTCCTTCTTGCTCCAGGGGATGTAACCCACTCCTCACTTCAGCCCAGGGGCCATGGACGCCAAGACCGACTGTTGTAGGCTTGTAGGTCTGGTGACCACAGGAGACGCGTTTGTCAAGGTGAGGCTGGTACCACTTGCTGTCTTGTTTGCGCTGTCTTGCAAAATTGAGTGACAATGACAAGACAGCACAAACATATCTGGGACCAGGCTAGGTAATGACCATAGGAGTTGGTAAGACAGCACAAACAGATCTGGGGCCAGGCTAGGTAATGACCATAGGAGTTGGTAAGACAGCACAAACAGGTCTGGGACCAGGCTAGGTAATGACCATAGGAGTTGGTAAGACAGCACAAACAGATCTGGGACCAGGCTAGGTAATGACCATAGGAGTTGGTAAGACAGCACAAACAGGTCTGGGACCAGGCTAGGTAATGACCATAGGAGTTGGTAAGACAGCACAAACAGATCTGGGACCAGGCTAGGTAATGACCATAGGAATTGGTAAGACAGCACAAACAGATCTGGGACCAGGCTAGGAGACTGCATCGGCTCCTGCTAAGACCATAATATATCTGGAGCTGAAATCAGACACTCCTCTTTGCGAACTTTCAGTCATGAGGTAAAAATAGAAACATTATCATCTCCGATGCTTGGCTATAATATAATAATGTATTTTAGATAAAAAAATGTTTTAGTGATTTAGCAGACGCTCTTACAGTTAGTGAGTGCATACATTTTTCATACTGGCCCCCCGTGGGAATCAAACCCACAACCCTGGCGTTGCAAGCGCCATGCTCTACCAACTGAGCTACAGGATGCTGACGTATGATAATGTATGATAATATATGATAATGCATTATAATAATCATAATACAGTATGATAATGTTTGCTTGTATTCTGCTCTGTCCTCCACCAGGCCATATATGGTAGACTGTTTGTCTGGGTGGTGGGGAAGATCAACATGGCTGTGTTCAAGCCTCCTCCCGAGGACACTGAACACGGCAGACAGTCTATCGGTCTGCTGGACATCTTCGGCTTCGAGAACTTCAACAAGAACAGGCATGTACCATCACAAAATAGTTCGTTCATTCCCATGGAGGAATAAGGGTTGCAAAATTCCATTAACTTTCCAAAGATTCCCAGGTTTTCTTGAAATTCCGGTCGGAACATTCCGGAATTAGAGAGCTTTAATATTGCAGATAGATTGTAGCTTCCATCAATGTAATTGTCTGCATCATTTCCAATCCCCCATATATTTTTTTGTCAATATATATACACTACCGGTCAAAAGTTTTAGAACACCTACTCATTCAAGGGTTTTTCTTTATTTTTACTATTTTCTACATTGTAGAATAATAGTGAAGACATCAAAACTATGAAAAAACACATATGGAATCATGTAGTAAACAAAAAAGTGTTAAACAAATCAAAATATATTTTATATTTGAGATTCTTCAAAGTAGCCACCATTTGCCTTGATGACAGCTTTGCACACTCTTGGCATACTCTCAACCAGCTTCACCTGAAATGCTTTTCCAACAGTCTTGAAGGAAGTCCCACATATGCTGAGCACTTGTTGGCTGCTTTTCCTTCACTCTGCGGTCCGACTCATCCCAAACCATCTCAATTTGGTTGAGGTCGGGGGATTGTGGAGGCCAGGTCATCTGATGCAGCCCTCCATCACTCTCCTTCTTGGTAAAATAGCTATTACACCGCCTGGAGGTGAGTTGGGTCATTGTCCTGTTGAAAAACAAATTATAGTCCCACCAAGCCTAAACCAGATGGGATGGCGTATCGCTGCAGAATGCTGTGGTAGCCATGCTGGTTAAGTGTGTCTTGAATTCTAAATAAATCACAGACAGTGTCACCAGCAAAGCACCCCCACACCATAATACCTCCTCCTCCATGCTTTACGGTGGGAAATACACATGCGGAGATCATCTGTTCACCCACACCGCGTCTCACAATGACACGGCGGTTGGAACCAAAAATCTCAAATTTGGACTCCAGACCAAAGGACAAATTTCCACCGGTCTAATGTCCATTGCTCGTGTTGTTGGCCCAAGCAGGTCTCTTCTTCTTGTTGATGTCTTTCGTAGTGGTTTCTTTGCAACAATTCGACCATGAAGGCCTGATTCACACAGTCTCCTCTGAACAGTTGATGTTGAGATGTGTCTGTGAACTCTGTGAAGCATTTATTTGGGCTGCAATTTCTGAGGCTGGTAACTAATGAACTTATCCTCTATTTGAAGAATCTCAAATATAAAATATATTTTATTTGTTTAACACTTTTTTGGTTTCTACATGATTCCATATGTGTTACTTCATAGTTTTGATGTCTTCACTATTATTCTACAACATAGAAAATAGTAAAAACAAAGAAAAACCCTTGAATGAGTAGGTGTTCTAAAACCTTTGACCGATAGTGTATATATATATATATATTTTAAATATATTTTCCTTTATTATTTTCCCCTAACCCTACCATCCCTCCCCTAATTGGGGTAGAATAATGAACAACAACACTTAGGCTTCTACTTCCAGCTTATCCATAGTATATACATTTTACGGACACAATCTATTTTACAACAGTTATCTTTTGTTTGTTTTTAATCCCATCCTTCAACTCCACTCAACCCCTCCCATCTATCTCTGAATCCCATCCATTTTGATTTATATTTTGCCATATATTTTTAACTGTGCTGTTTCACAAAAGTTCTTAACCTATTTTACGGGACACAGTATATTTTACATTAGTTATCTTGTTGTTTTTGAGAGAGAGAGAGAGAGAGAGGAGAGAGAGAGAGAGAGAGAGAGAGAGATAGAGAAGAGAGAGAGAGAGAGAGAGAGAGAGAGAGAGAGCGAGCAGAGGAGTGAGAGAGAGATGAGAGAGAGAGAGAGAGAGAGAGAGAGCGAGAGAGAGAGAGATGAGAGAGAGAGAGAAGAGAGACGCGAGAGGTGTAATTCAATTAAATAACCGTGTAAGTAATATTTGTTTATCCCCAGTCAAGGCTGATTTAGCTCCTGGGAGACAGTGAGAGAGAAGCTCCGTCAGATGTTACCTCTCTCATTAAACCTCTCTCATTCCTGGACCTGCGACCAAAAACAAGCTACATATGGACTGTACCAAAACAAATAATCTAATGATTCTGTCTCTTCGCAAAAAATCAGCAGAGCTGGGATGGTTGTATCCCCCTATATATAACATTCTATTTGTTGCAAGAATTTTGTATAATAATTGAAATTGAACAATTCAAAGTTTTCAATCCGGCGTTGTTTTGTGTATTAGTTCATAAACCATGTGGCATGGAATCGGTACGTCAAAAATCTATTCCCAACTATTTTGCAATCTATATGGTACAGCTGTCAATTTATGACTTTACTCTAACTCCTTAAAGTCAGTCAGACTTTATGACTTTATTCAACGCCCTAAAGTCAGTCACCCTTTATTCAACGTCCTAAAGTCAGTCACCCTTTGACTTTATTCAACGTCCTAAAGTCAGTCACCCTTTGACTTTATTCAACGTCCTAAAGTCAGTCACCCTTTGACTTTATTCAACGTCCTAAAGTCAGTCACCCTTTGACTTTATTCAACGTCCTAAAGTCAGTCACCCTTTGACTTTATTCAACATCCTAAAGTCAGTCACCCTTTATTCAACGTCCTAAAGTCAGTCACCCTTTGACTTTATTCAACGTCCTAAAGTCAGTCACCCTTTGACTTTATTCAACGTCCTAAAGTCAGTCACCCTTTGACTTTATTCAACGTCCTAAAGTCAGTCACCCTTTGACTTTATTCAACGTCCTAAAGTCAGTCACCCTTTGACTTTATTAAATGTCCTAAAGTCAGTCACCCTTTGACTTTATTCAACATCCTAAAGTCAGTCACCCATTGACTTTATTCAACGTCCTAAAGTCAGTCACCCTTTGACTTTATTCAACGTCCTAAAGTCAGTCACCCTTTGACTTTATTCAACGTCCTAAAGTCAGTCACCCTTTGACTTTATTCAACGTCCTAAAGTCAGTCACCCTTTGACTTTATTCAACGTCCTAAAGTCAGTCACCCTTTGACTTTATTCAACGTCCTAAAGTCAGTTACCCTTTGACTTTATTCAACGTCCTAAAGTCAGTCACCCTTTATTCAACGTCCTAAAGTCAGTCACCCTTTGACTTCATTCAACGTCCTAAAGTCAGTCACCCTTTGACTTTATTAAACGTTCTAAAGTGTGTTGACCATTCTTTTGATTATTGTGTGGGTTGTTTGCTTGTTTTCATTGCAGTTTTGAGCAGCTGTGTATCAACTTCGCCAACGAGAAGCTGCAGCAGTTCTTCGTGAAGCATGTCTTCAAGCTGGAGCAGGATGAGTACGCCCGCGAGAACATCGTCTGGAACCACATCGACTACAACGACAACCAGAGAACACTGGACGTGCTGGCCAACAAGTCTCTTAACATCCTGGCACTTATCGACGAGGAAAGCAACTTCCCCAAGGTACGCAGCCTCCGCCCCCCCCCTGCACTTTAAGGCTGCGTCTCAAATGTCTCCCTATTCCCTACAGAGTGCACATCTGCCCATAAGGCTCTGGTCAACAGTCGTTTACTATGTACGGAATAGGGTTTCATTTGGGACGCAAATTAATTCAGTGACTCTTAAGAACTGTTTTGGTTAATGTTCCCCAATTGCATTGTGCTCTGAAGTACCCCCCTCATGTGCAACTGATTATAAGGCCAATGCTCGTATTAGTCTTCCCAAGGGTGGATAGGCCGGGTTTGAGATGCTCGTATTAGTCTTCCCAAGGGTGGATAGGCCGGGTTTGAGATGCTCGTATTAGTCTTCCCAAGGGTGGATAGGCCGGGTTTGAGAACCATAGGTAACATTACAAGTGAGGCCCTGTAATTGAGTAGTGTCCTGTCTAGGTGCCGTTCTGGCTCGGACAAGTGAAAGGGCCTAACTCTTCTGTTCTTTGTTCTGTTGTGTGTGTGTGTGTGTGTGTGTGTGTGTGTGTGTGTGTGTGTGTGTGTGTGTGTGTGTGTGTGTGTGTGTGTGTGTGTGTGTGTGTGTGTGTGTGTGTGTGTGTGTGTGTGTGTGTGTGTGTGTGTGTGTGTGTGTGTGTGTGTGTGTGTGTGTGTGTGTGGTGTGCGTGCGTGCGTGCGTGCGTGCGTGCGTGCGTGCGTGCGTGCGTGCGTGCGTGCGTGCGTGCGTGGCGTGCGTGCGTGCGTGCGTGCGTGCGTGCGTGCGTGCGTGCGTGCGTGCGTGCGTGCGTGCGTGCGTGCGTGCGTGCGTGCGTGCGTGCGTGCGTGCGTGCGCGCGTGCGTGTGCGCGCGTGTGTGTGTGTAGGGTACAGATACTACCATGATCAACAAGATGAACCAGGTACATGGGAAGGGCGATGTCTATATTCCCCCTAAAAACAACCACGACACGCAGTTTGGAATCCAGCATTTCGCTGGGGTGGTCCACTACGATTCAAAAGGTATTCTAAATCTCTATGAGACGCAAACTTTTGTGTTGCTATAATCTAAACTGTAATGACAGTTTGTGCCTGTGCTTGAATGAGTACCACTTTTCTTATTTTAACCTGCCCACTATTTGTGTTCGGGTTTAAATCGGTATAAAATCTGTATAATGTAGGCTGTATCCCAAATGGTACCCTATTGACCTCACGGGCTCTGGTCAAAAGTAGTGCACTATATAGGGAATAGGGTGCCATTTGGGACACACTCTAATATAGTCTCATCTTGTAATTTAGGTTTCCTGAGAGAAAGAATCCCGAGCACTGACCTCACCCCGCGGGTGGAACGTCGTCCAGAAAGATTAAAGCAGGCTTTCCCCCAGAACGAGCTTCCTCCAATAGCGAGTTTAGCCAGCGCCAACCCCAAGATGACCATCAATCACAAAAAACCTCGAGGGCAGTGGAACCCCCGGGGGGAACCCCCTGGAAAAGGCCTGGGAAAACCCCCTGGGGGCGTTCCATAACCCCCCGGGTTCCCAGCGGTCAAAGGGGTTTACTTTTCCCCCTATATTTCCTTTTTTCTTTTGGAAATTTAAAGACAAAAACCCAAATCTAAAGTATGTAGAAAAATAAAAGGGGAGGAATATATAATATAACAATTACCAAAAAAAAAAAACTAGACGCAGGAGAATCAAAATTAAAAAATATCTTTAGCAGGGGGCCCCTTTCATTGATTTTTTTTATGTTGGTCACTCAGTACGGTAGCTAAGAACATGGCAAAAAAGGTTTTTTAAATGCAAAATTTTCTTTTCTGAAAATTTCTTAGAAAGAGAAAAATGTTTAAAAAAAAAAAAACTAGCTTTTTAAAAAAATTTTAAAAAATAAAATTTAAACCCCAGTGTGATTTTGGGGCATAAACTTTTTGAATCAGTTCTTTTAAGGGGAAAAAAAATTTGTAAAAAATATTAATTTTTTTTATTTTATAATTATAAAGTATAGTTTGTTATTTTTATATGTTAATTTTTGAAAATTGTTATTTGAAATAAAAAAAAAATTGTAAAAAAAAGATTTTTTAAAAAAAAAAAAAAAAGGGCAAAAAGGGGAAAGAAAGAAAAAGGAAAAATAAAATTTTTAAAAAGGTTTTTTTTGAAAAAGGGGGGGCCTTAAAAAAAAACCCCGGGGAAACCCTTAAGAAAAATTTTTTTTTTTTCTTCTTTTTTTCTTTTCTTCTCTTTTTTCTCTTTTCTTTCCTTTTCTCTCTTTAAAAGGTTTCAAAGCGGTTTCACGTTTCCCTATACTTTCCTGTTTTCATTGTAAACTTAAATGACTAAACAACCAAAAAAAAAAAAAAAATTTAAAAATAAAGGAAAAAATTAAAAAATATCGAGCATAATAGGTAGTAAAACAGGGCAAATTTAAAATATGCAGGAATTCAAACTAAATATCTTAGCGCATAAAAATGGGGGAAGAAGGAGGGGGAAAACTGCAAAAAATTTTAAATTAATAATGCCTCACTGATGTTTTCGACGATGAACAAGTAGTAGATGCAGAAACTTTTAAACAAAATTTTAATAAAACTAATTCTAACCCTCATCTATATTATCGATACTTATTTAAATAATATAATTAATGTAAGTATAGATAAGGAAAAATTTATAAAATTAAATGAAATTAATTTGTAAGATAGTAAATAATATATTACAGATATTATATATATTTTATTTTTTATATTGTTCTATTTATTATATATATATAATGTTTATATTTCTTATGATATATATGCTTATCATATCTTATTAGAATGTTCTATATTTTTTGTTATATGTTATTCTTGGTTTTAATCATTATCTTTATCTTTTTAGTTTCTTGTATTTAAACTTTTCTCTTTTTCTCTTTGTTCTTCTATCTTTGTCTTCTCTTCTCTGTCTATCTTCTCTATTCTCTCTCTCATGTCTCTCTATCTATCTCTCTCTCTCTCTCTCTCTATTTCTTATCATCTCTCTATCTCTCTGGTCTCTCTCTCTTTGTCTCTATCTCTCTATTGGTCTCTCTATCTCTCTCTCTCTCTCTGTCTCTCTCTCTCTCTCTCTTTCTATATATATATATACACTAACAGTCAAAAGTTTGGACACACCTACTCATTCCAGGGTTCTTTATTTTTGCTATTTTCAAAACTATGAAATAACACATATGCAATCATGTAGTATCCAAAAAAGTGTAAAACACATTTTATATTTGAGATTCTTCAAAGTAGCCACCCTTTGCCTTGATGACAGCTTTGCAC